GGAGGTGGCAGAGGACTGAGCACGGGAGGTGGCAGAGGACTGTGGCACGGGAGGTGGCAGAGGACCGAGCACAGGAGATGGCAGACGACTGTGGCACAGGAGGTGGCAGAGGACTGTGGCACGGGAGGTAGCAGGGGACCGAGCACGGGAGGTGGCAGAGGACTGTGGCATGGGAGGTAGCAGGGGACCGAGCACGGGAGGTGGCAGAGGACCGAGCACAGGAGGTGGCAGAGGACTGTGGCACAGGAGGTGGCAGAGGACTGTGGCACAGGAGGTGGCAGAGGACTGTGGCACAAGAGGTGGCAGAGGACCTAGCACAGGAGGTGGCAGAGGACCATGGTACAGGAGGTGGCAGAGGACCATGGCACAGGAGGTGGCAGAGGACTGTGGCATGGGAGGTAGCAGGGGACCGAGCACAGGAGGTGGCAGAGGACTCCGCACAGGACTGTAACTTAATGGCAGAGAAGAGATACCCAGTTTCCTTTAGGGAGCAAAGGAAAGCCTGGGGGCGGGGAGGGAACTGAACGGACACCGTCAGCCAAGGCCTCCTGATAGGGTTGATACCAGCACCGAGTTTTAGGAGTTGTAGGAAAGAAAATGCAGGGAGTCGCGATCACACCTCAAAATAGCTCCCTTCCCTGGGGCTGGTGGAGAATGAACTTGAAGAGGAGAAATCTGCAGACAAGAGACCAGGAAGCCGTGGTGGCAGCAGCACTTGGGGGACACCAGGGCCTAAGCTTCGCAGTGGGAACAGCCGTGGGGAGGAGAGGTAGGAATCCATTGACAGTGAGAATCCACACCATGTCTGCTGACGCACTGAACATGAGGGAGGAGAGAGGAGGAGGAAGCGCTGAGGACAACCCCAGGTTTCTAGCTTGTGTTCCAGGAGCTGAGACAGAGCATAGTGCGGGGGAAGGCGTGCTGGGCCGCAGTGTGATGAGGGGCCAGGGCCAGTGTGCAGCGGGACGTGAGTCTGAGGCTACACCTGTGCAGGTCACCAGCATAACAGAGGATGGGGCACCCAGGCAGACAGAGGCAGGACTACTGGCTCTGGAGGGAGACAGACTTGCTTAACTGGCCATCCTGTCCTATCAGGCCTGCATTTCTTTTCTTTTTCTTTTTTTTTGGAGACAGAGCCTCAGAGTCTCACTTTGTTGCCCTCAGTAGAGTGCTATGGCATTATAGCTCACAGCAACCTCAAACTCCTGGGCTCAAGCGATTCTCTTGCTTCAGCCTCCCAAGTAGCTGGGACTACAGGCGCCTGCCACAACGTCTGGCTATTTTTTAGAGACGAGGCCTCCCTCTGGCTCAGGCTGGTCTCAAACCCATTAGCTCAGGCAATTCACCCACTCTGGACTCCCAGCATGCTAGGACAGGTTTGCATTATATTTCCTTTTTTTTTCTTTTTTTAGACAGAATCTAACTCTGTCGCCCTGGGTAGAGTGCCATGCCTCAAACTGTTGGGCTCAAGTGATCCTATTACCTCAGCCTCCTGAGTAGCTGGGACTACAGGTGCCTATCACAACACCAGGCTAATTTTTCTATTTTTAGTAGAGACGGGAGTCTTGCTCTTGCTCAGGCTGGTCTTAAACTCCTGAGCTCAAGCAATCCATCTGCCCCGGTCTCCCAGAGTGCTAGGATTATAGGTGTGAGCCACTGTGTCCAGCCAGGTCTGTGTTTTCTTGGGCCCTTGAGACATAGTTGCCTATTTTCTCTCATTAGAATGTTTGCACCCTATTCCCAGTCCTGTGACCATTTCTCCCTTTGCGGAGGAGTAATTATACATACATCTGTCCACATACAGCACTCAGGGCAAGGTCTTGTACATAGGAGGTGATTGGTAAATGTTCATCTTTATTGCTTATATTCATCTGGCTCTCTGTATACAAAATTAGCTCATTTTTTTCTTGCAGGAACTTCTTTTTTGATTCTCAGGTTTACCGTCTTATAGATTATAAGACTACTTCAGGATTAATGTAAGTGTGAGTGAGGAGTACTTGCTAGGTGGGAGTCTTCTGCTCATCTTCAAGACTGAATCATTCCAGGGTTTGGAAACATCCATTTCTCTTCTCAGGGAAGATTGTGGAGTTTACCCCGCTGAGGTCCCACTAGAGGGCTGCAGTAGCCTAGCGTAGCTCAAGTAATACCTGATTCCAGGTGGGGAAAGGAGGTTGAGTTTCAGATTTTCCTTTATTTGAAAAATATGTGCAAAAGAGTCACTAAAAATAAGAACAAAGTAGGCTTTGTTGCTGCTGAGTGGCTTGGCAAATTTTTGTATAGAGGAATCATTGGGCATGAAGGATTTGACACTGGGATAGAATCCAATTGCCCTTGGAATGGAAGTCGAATATCCTTTTTAAGAGCACTGAAGTTCTGGGATTTCTCTGGAATAATCACCTTTGTGAGGTGTGGCTCATGTCCAGGAACTGTAACCTGAGCAGAAACAAGAAACAATTGTATGAGTGACTTCAGATGTTCTGTGGTGCCAAGTCTGCAAACACTGATAGCCACCGCTAAAACGCAAAGCTTGCAGCAATCTGCCAGCCGCCTGGCCCTGCTCCTCACTAGGTATCCAATGCCCGTTGATAGAGACCGTTGTTGTTAATGCTGTTGCAAAGATTTACAAGATGGAATAAAGCCAGAGACAGGTACGTTGTCTGGGGATGGCGGTCAGGAGACTGACTGATTCTGCCAGCATCCTTTTCATGGAGTACAAAGGTAAAGAGTCCGTGGTTCCTTTCGTCCCATGTCTGTACTTAATATCTTCATTGGATACCATGATAATTTATAAGTCCAAGTGTTTCCTCAATTTACTCCATTTTGTTTGCTGATCTAACTGTACAAGTCTATTGCTTCCTTAAAAAGCGGTGATTTTACCTGGTTTTGTTTACATGAATCTGAATCTTCATCTAGATTTGTTTTCTTGGTGGAGGAAATAATCAGGAAAAATTAGACAAATGCTAAACTAACTTTATGTGACATCCACTGAGAAATGCTTTTTTTTTAAATTGAGACAGAGTTATGTAGAGTGCTGTGGCATCATAGCTCACAGCAACCTCTAATTCTTGGACTCAAGAAGCCAACTGAGGACTCCTGCCTCAGTTTTTCTATTTTTAGTAGAGACAGGGTGTCCCTTTTGCTCAGGCTGGTCTCAAGCTCATGAGCTCAAGCAATCTACCCGCCTCAACCTTTAGAGTGTTGGGATTACAGGTGTGAACCCCTGTACCTGACCTTGAGAAATGCTTTTATTATATATGGTGAAAAGAGAAGAATGAGAGAATAACATTTACAAAACTACTAACTGGCATGTGTTTGAGCCTTTCATTACAGCTTCCTGAGTCTTATCTTCGAATCTTGTTCCAGAACTAACACCTGTGGTCAACATGCACTGTGGTGGTCTAATCAATAGGAAATTAACCATTCATGACTTGATTCTATAAAGGTGTGGCTTATTTATGGGATTGCATAAAAATAATGTATATTTAGTACATGGAAAACCCTTTCCCCTCCCATAGAATGAAAATATCACAGTATGGAAGAAAAATACAGAGCTTTTTTAGGTAGAGGGTCACAGTGAGTTGGGATTTTTTCAAGTTCTATCCACCTTCTCAGTAGGAGTGGAAACTCCCAAGAAGAGGATTTGCAGTTGCCAAGCCCCATCAGCAGGCCAAGGTGAGAGATGAAATACTGAAATGCTAAGTCTGTACTGTGGGAGAGACAACTGCCTCCTCCCAGGTGGAGCTCTGCACGGAACCAGTACCAGGGTGGCTTCAGCGCCACAGAGCAAAGCAGCAGAATCCTGAATCTCTCAGAGAAAGTCTCATCAAAGAGAAAGCAGTACAATCTGGCCAACTAAATCAGGCTCAAGTTAGTTCATACCCCTTTCTCACAGGATAAAATGGCTCAGAAATATGCATTAAAACAGACTTAAAAACTCAAACTTTATTTGCATTGATTAAAAACGGGATTGTAAAACATGTCTATCAGTTGTTTAATAACGTGGTAAAATTTGTGAATCAAATTTCACTTATAATGAATTCTAAGGAACTTGTCCTAATCTATTTTTTTCTTATTAATAAGTTTATTTATTTATTTATTAAATCATAGCAGTGTACATTAATACTATCATGGAGTATAGTGGACTGTTTCTGTATACAATTTGAAATACTTTCATCCAACTGGTTAACATTGCTTTCATGTCTTTTTCTTAGTTATTGTGTTAAGACATTTGTATTCTACATTTAGAGAGATTCACATGTACCCTTATAGGATGAACCATAGGTGTGATCCCACCAATCACCCTCCCTCCTCCTCCCCTCCCTCCCTCTCCCCACTAATCTATTTTTTATAGTAGAGATTATGTTTCATGGAATGAGTGTTAAATGGTATTTCATGAAGCTGGGAAGTATTTTTGCTACGTTGCTCAATTACTCTCATTATTAATAAGGTTACATTTTAATTTTTTAATATTTATTTATTTATTTTTTTGAGACAGACTCTAACTATGTTGCCCTGGGTAGAGTGCTGTGGCATCATAGCTCACAGAAACCTCCAACTCTTGGGCTTAAGCAATTCTCTTACCTCCGTCTCCTAAATAGCTGGGACTACAGGCAGCTGCCACAATGCCTGGCTAGTTTTTAGTTATAGTTGTCGTTGTTTGGCAGGCCCAGGTTGGATTCGAACCTGCCAACTCAGGTGTATGTGGCTGGCATCCTAAGCTGCTGAACTACAGGTGCTGAGCCAAGGTTACATTTTTAAATCATAAAGATTTCACAAGAAACAGGATATAGCTATTTAAAAAAAAATCACCAGCTAGGAAAAAACATGGGTTTTTCTGGGTTGTTCCAATCATTCCCACCTCTCCCAGCCCCCTGCCTATCTATCTGAACATATCGATTTGGGGGCCTTGTAGACCTAGTTTAGATTCCTTCTGGATGAGTAGTGTGAGTCCTGTAATGTATATATATGCCCTCACCACTATACTAATGATGAAGTTCTATAATAGTTTGATAACAGTAACTAGTGTTAATACTTACATTTATTACATAGGATCCAGGTAAGAGAAGGAGATAATACTCCCCAAATCTGTTGGTTCTATAGGGACAGATATGTTTCCTGTCTTGGACTTCTACAGTTACACTGGGCAGTGGATTTCCACTGTGATCAAAAACTTGACCTTTTACACCTGTAAGATCAAAAGAAAATTAAATATAAATACCACATTAAATGAAATACAAAAAACATCCTTGTAAATATTTTTTTAAATGTCCAACATTTATTCGCTGTTTTGAGTTCATAAAGTTTAGAGAAGGGAAAGTAAACTTAGTTCTGATGGAACTTAAAACAGAGCCCAGCCACTAATTTGATTTGTAGCTGAAATTTGATTGTTGTTGAATATTCTAATAACATACATCATCAAAGTCGGAGAACATAGATGGTAATTCAAGATCTGTTCCTGTCATTTCTGAGCTGTTTACTCAGTCACCAAACCGTACCGTGCCATTACGATGGGTAGATTCCATTTCAACGGATTAATTTACAACAAGGTATTTACCTATGTGAGGTAAGTACATGAGAAGCAAAATTATAATCTCAAGGTTGCTTGGAAGCCTAGAGTCAACTGAGTGGTCACAGCAGCCCCAGTCCCCCCGTGTGACCCGCACTCTGTGCTAAGTGCTCAGCGAGCATCTTCTCATCCAGTCCTCACATCAACTCCGAGTTATCCATTACTGTCAAGCTCCAACAGATGAGAAAACTAAGCCTCTGATCACTAAAATAGCCTGCTCAAGCTCACACGGCCGAGGAAGCAGCACCTCTGGCTACAAACTCTCAACAGTCTCTTCAGCCCACATGGAGCCCATCACACCATACCCTGGCTCTAAACTTCAGGGGTACAATTTCTTAAAGCATTGGTATTTTAAGACTCTTATTTTAAATACTACATTTCACATTCTAGTTTGTTTCCTCCAGTGACAAAGGTGAAGCCAATGGCATAAATGAGAAGGAAGAGTCTGGAATAGACAACCTTGAGCTGTCCCTGCAGAGTTAACACGCAGTGACCTTGAGCCGGCCCTGCAGAGTTAACACCCAGTGACCTTGAGCTGCCCTTGCAGAGTTAACACCCAGTGACCTTGAGCTGCCCTTGCAGAGTTAACACCCAGTGACCTT